GCAAGGAACTGTGACAGAGCACGGTTACTTACGATAGCGAAGCCACTAGCGATCCATTTTTCCATGGACCATCTTTCCTTAACCGCCTTCCTGAGCGTGTTGAGTGCAGATATCGGTATGTAGATCCAGAATACGCGCGCAGCGCCGAAGAACACGGCGCTGTGTTCGGCCACCAGAGGACCCGCACCACGAATCAAACCTGCGTTACTCGCAGACAGAGCATCGTACATGGCTGCTTGAAAGGCGAGGGCACTGGCAGTATAACTCTTTCTGGAGGCGCCGACCATTTTGTCTTATCGGTGCCGTTAGGTATTAGCTCCTCGATGTTGAAGCACGTTAAGGCGACGAGCTCCGCGTCGTCCACGTCTTCACCAACGAGTCGTTCCGCCATTTCCAGGAGCTTAGGTATATCTTGAGCAATCGGATATTTTGGCAGCCGACGTACTGACCTTCGTTAGCGCCCCCTCCTTATTGTTTTCATCGTACATGAGTAATCATATATTTTGGCAGCCAACGTACTGACCTTCGATAGCTTCCCATCCGTATTGTATTCATTATACAGGGATTGCGACTGTGCGGTCTCGTTCAGCGAAGTGATGAGTAGGTCACGCCCAATGCGATAGCCTCGACCAGATCGGCAATCTTCTTCGAGCCACCTTTCCTCGTATGGACGCGTAGTCCGCAGGGTCATTCGAGATATTGAGCGCGAGTTGTACCCACTCTGGTGAAGGAAGAAGGTGTACCATCTCATGTTGATGTGACGCCTTTGCATCGTGCCGAGAAGATCGTGCAGGTAACTGGCTGTCATCGTAGTCAATTCCTGCTTCTCCTGATCATACTCGAACCTGCAATGGCACGGTGAGATGAGATGAGATGACGCTAAGCCGCCGCACAGCAAGAACACTCACTCAAATTTATTGAGGTCGTCGTGCGCCTCGATCCACCCCTGCAAATTCTTCCAGTCCTGCGCAGTGAAACCGGTGACCTTCTGTGTGTAGAGACTCAGTCAGCTACTGTGATATGAGTCGCATACAGATACTCACGACTTCGCCAGTGACGTGTGGGAGGTCGAGGTACCGGTCTCCGAAGGCCTTGCGAACCACCTCTGGGTACTCGTACTCGTCCTTGGTAGCAGCTGTGCATCAGCTAACATTAGCTGGCTGCATGGGCTGATTACCACTGGACGAGCACGTAACACATACCTGATTGTTCGGTGTCGATCAGATCACTCTCTACCTCTGTGAGGACCAACGATTAGCGATCTGCGCGCATGATAACATGTGGCGTTCGGATACCTACCTTGCTCGGCTGCGTTGGCTTTTGTGACAGGGACGTGCTTCCTAGTGCTGTATTTCTCTGTATACCCAAGTGAGCGAAATCGATCTGTCAGTGCCGCCGAAGCACCTACTCACCTCCAATGATGTTAGGTTTCTGCTGGTAAGTCTGGGACCCTCGATCCCCCTTCCCCTTAGCGCTGTTGTGACTATTGAGGCGAGGCTGAGGAGAGCGGGGAGGGGGTGAGCGAGATGGATGCGTAGTAGATCGAAGTAGAGACGTGGTGGACATCTTGGTTCACGGTCTCCTCCTGGGGAGCTGAGACGTTGAAGAACCAAGAGCGGCCGCCAGGGAGGCTTAGTCAAGTGAGACTTCGTTGTCACTTGACAAGGCCGGGGTTAGCCCCGCACGGCGCACCGCATGCATCCTCGCCACAGCATTCAGCCTTATCAGCTAAGAATACGTCCGACTCACCTCTGCCTGTGAACTGGCCTCACTCTCCCACTGGCACCCATTCACAGGCTGCTCGTTACAGCCACTACGTCTCACGGCTAAGTACGCATCGCGACTTCTGACCTTGACGTAGGCTTCCACTGACTTAATCCGTAGTATTCGCGCCCAGCGCGCTCAGCGGCAGGGTCCGAGTCCTGTTCCTGTGGCGTGGGAGGCGCAAGGGCGTTGCGGTTGCGCATCGCACGCCACAGCTCGCAGCTCGATCGGTGGCGCAGCCTTGTAGTCCGTTCAACAGAAAAAACTACAGTACGTACCTTAGAACAGATGTCAATATATCGATTGTGATATACCATGCGTGTCCGGTTACAACGCGAAGGCTAAACCTATACCAACATAAGGTCAGTAGGGATCGTGCAACAGGCTGGAACTCAGTATCAATACCAACGTTCGCACCTTGAGTCGACATGGAGGTTGAAGGAGAAAGGCGTTCCGGAAGGCGCTGAGTTGACGCGCGAGATCTCACTAATGTAACGTAATGACAGATGAAGGGTCGTTGCAATTTGTTGCACTTTTTGGACGCCAGTGCAACTTCACCTTCCTCTGGCCCTTCACTCCCAGTGAGTTATTATTCCTTCGCTGCGTCTGTATCGATCTGAAGTGAGTTTTATGGGCTAGGTATGCCGAAACGAAAGCGCACCTTTGAGGAGCTCCTCAATGACACCTGCGGCGCTTGTCATCAGCCTTTCAAGACGACGCAGGGCCTCTGCGCCCACCAGAGCATGAGCAAAAAATGCTCCTGGTACAAGAAAGGAAAATTGAAAGCGTTGTTCGCAGTCGAAGATGAGAGGTTAGACGACGACGTAGTGGTTGAGGATACAAGGTATGCCGGATACTTCACTGCCAGGCTTGATTTATTAAAAGAATGGTATATTCAGGACAGTCGGAACGTCAAGTCCACGGGACAACGATGGCCATCCTCGGCACCCCCCAGACTATTCACATGAAGAGGATGAAGAGGATGATGGCAATGGCGAAGGAGAGGACGATGAACTGGACTCACTGTTCGATTTTATTGAGGTCTGTGCGCCTTCGAAGCGGCCTGTTGATCCAGGAGGAAATGCAGATGCACCCGGGCCGTCGACTGCAGGGCCTTCGACCGCATCGACTCCGAATGCAAGACGTACGGCGCTCTCTCTGGACGACGATGACGATGAGCGAGTAGTGGATGAAGATGAAGAGGCAGGCGTGGTAACTCAAGTCGATTCACAAGTACGTAGGAAATGGCTAGAGGGCAGGGAGGATGGACGATCAGGTGAGGTGCATTATTCTCACTGGGGATGAGCATGATTCTAACCTGGAGAAGACGGAAGTGCGGACGCCGACGCAGAAGAAGAGGGCGCGGATGACGCAGAGGAACAGACGAAGAATCCATGGGCGCCATTCGAGTCTGAGATGGACTGGCGATTCGCCTCATGGGCTATCCAGGCACATAATGGGGTCAAACTATCGGTTTGTTACCCGGCCACCCGACATGATATTCACTTATTGTTGCCCGGCCACCCGACGTCGGCCGACGGTTCGACTCAGCCGTCATTACCCGCGTCGGCCGATGCATGGAACTTCCGGCTACCCTCGGATGGGCCGACGAGTTGGATGGGGGGGTGTTTCCAACCAGGGCTCACAGGGTGTGTGCGGATTGACATTCTGTATTGTCATCACCCACGGGTCGGCCGATGGTATGATTCGTCGGCGTTCACGGAGCGGCCGACGGTCAAATCTCACCATATACACCCGGTCGGCCGAGGGTCTGACGGATGGGTCTGTACCGAGTCGGCCGGTGGTTGGACAAGATGCTGCTCCCACAGCGGCCGGTCATAAGACAAGCCGTGACAGTCCGGTCGGCCGACCACCCGGGGATCCGCATACTGGAATTCTTTGTGATTCATCCAATTTGTCTTGGCCTCACTGTTGCCCGGTCGGCCGACATCGCACCCGTATCAATGCTCCTATTGTTGCTGGACAGCTGGCGACATGTTCTATATGATACATGGACTTCAATCTGTGCGGCCGACATTTGACTACTGCCAACAATCGGTGCGCGGCCGGCGTCCGATCACATCGTTGTAACCCTGCCGGCCAACATATTGTCAACCGGCTAATACCTGAGCGTCGTGCGGTCGCGAACTCGGCCGGGCTTCAGCCGAACGTATTTACTTCCACTAAACATTTGCCAGCCCGCTCCCTCTCTGTTCCTTTCCTTAGTGTTGGCTGGTTCGTCAGTTTAGCCATCCCAAACACCACCAGTGTGCATCCTCAGCATTTCGGATGGAGCCCGGTTGTGCCCGAATGCTGACGTTCCAATTACTATTGAATCGTGATAAGGTACCGCCGGAAAGTTCGGCCCGGGCTCCCATCATGCCCTGATCACAAGGAGACCTGCCCGATCTCCCGGGCATATAACACCATTAATAGACACTTACCAGCCACAGCTTTTGCGTGTGACTGTTGTACAAACTATACAGACCCATCAGGAAAACCCCTTGTGTCCGCAAGCGGTTGAGCTTTTGCAAAAGTAGCGCCTGCAACGGAAAAGAAGTCGCAGAGCACTTGCAAGCAGTTTGACCAATATCACACGCGCAAAAGCGCTCCTGAGCACCGTTGGTAAGGTAGCAACCCGTCAGACCGACCAATTTATCACTTGAGAGAAGTCCAATTGTTCAGTGCAATTCGAAGTCTCGAGCGCATCCTGGGTCAAGGCCCCACAACACAATTATTTTCCCACTATGACTGCCAGGGTAATTCCCATACAACATCGCATTCAAATTTTACATGTAGGACTCGGAGTAAAATTACAAAACAGAACCAAGGCATGTATCATACGTCAAATGTACTACACATAGTACGGTATTTCCTCACCGGTGCCCCGCACGACTTCCCAAACCTCAGGAACAATGGGAATATTACCATCCTCAGTAATCTCCCATATTTCCACCTCGGAATCGTCCTCCGTCGCCGGCGCATTGATCTCTCCGACATCTCGCCCCGCAACCACCTCCTCGGGAACGGGACCACCGACCCGTCTCACCTCGCAGCCGTCATCGCCGATGAGAGGCCGTATGGCCACTATGCCTTCAGGGGCGCCCCAACACTCAACACGCCATTCGGCATGCAGATACTCGCGGCCTTGCGGGACGTCCACGGGCCAGACGATGTCGAAATCCACCGGCATGAAGGTCATCTTCATGGAGTCGAAGGGGTAGATGCGTTGGGTACCGAAGCTGTACCGTTCCGCATGGCGAGCCACCGTCACTGACGACTCCTTGAAGACGGGGATGTGTGGGAGGGGGAAGGGAAGGCGGAACGGAATTTGCGTGCCGTTCACAGCGGTAGGGATGAACGTGTTCGAGTACACATTGTAAAAGTCGAAAGTGGTGCGGCCCCCTTGCGCGACGCCCTTCCATTCGTTTAGCCCGCGGAAAAACTGTACAGTCAGCGGCTGGTTGAACGACAGCTCGATCTCATTGCCCAGCTCCTCCCAGATAAGCGGGAGCGACACCGGGTCGTGCGAGTCCTAGGGCGCGGTAAGTCCCCGAGATACAGAGCCGCCAGATGGGCGTAACATTTACTCACCTTGGCAAAAATAACGGTGTCCACCACCACCTTCCGACCCGGCGCACGCAGACACGGGGGAATCAGAGCACCCAGGTGGGTCTCGATCATCGACCCCAGCAGGACCCACCCTCCTAGTTTGGCGGGCGGGCTCAGCGCGAGGATTTCCTTGAGCGCAAGCTTGATCTCCGCCCGATTTCCCTGGACGTTACTGAGGCGAGTGGTGCACGTAGACGGGTCGAACGTAGCGCACTAGTTGAATGTGGCAACATGGCCAGTTAGTCGACGCGCGCACAAGAGAACAGACCACGCACATAATCGAACAATCGCCCGAAGTTCGTCCTCTCCAGACACACGACCGTAACGTGTGCGATCTCCGGTCCCACCACGCATTGCCGCGAGTGGTGAGCAGCAGCTCCGAACGACGGTAGGCGAGGCGCGAGTAGTTGAAGAACGCGAGGATCGGGTCGAGACATGGCGAAGAAAGCAGAGAGACGTGGTAGAGCGTGTTGAGAGTAGGATAGAGGTTGAGAGTCTTGAGAGACAAACGACCGCTGGCGCTAAGTCTCAAGCGCTGGGTGACGCCCGTCCCCGAACTCAGCCACACTGAAAGACACAAGCATTTGTATAGAACACATTCTTTGCCGTAGTTGTACATCGTCTTAGACAACAAAAAAAAACTCTGTCTACTGTACTATATCATACCGTTCCGCCCGCCAGTGCCCGCCAGAATCACGGCGCAGCCGGGCTGCCCGATCTGCGGCCGTTCAAGAATCCGACCCCAGGGAAATCCGAGGTCCGTACTTCGCCACCTCGCGTCGATCCGGCAGCGACGCTGTGGAAGCCCGGTCGGCAAGATGAACGGCGCGTCGTAGAGCTCGGCCTTCATCGAGCACATGGGTGGCAGCGCGATGCGACCCAGTGCGTAGTCTTCCGCGCGCGCCGCAAGCGTGACGCGCGCATCCTTGAAGACGGGGTATTGACGGAGGGGTAGGGGATAGCGAACGGGATGGCGGGCAAGGTGAGGCGGCACAAAACTTTGCTGACTCACGTCGTAAACGTCGTAGAACGCGACGCCCAACGGGTTCTGCCAGTAGTTGAGGTCGGGCAGGGCCTGCTGGGTGATCGGCTGCACGATCGGCACTTCGATCTCCGTGTCATGGACGCGACACAGGAGAGGAAGAAGCAGCGGATCTACACCGTCCTATAGGACGGTTTGTGGGGGTAGTAGATAGAGATACAGCGGGTTACGCACCTTGTAAAACACAACCGCCTCCACCACGGCAGTTGCCTCACTCCTCTCCAGACACTCCGGCACCCAAAAGTCGCTCCATTCGCGGTCACCGCCCATGAGTAACCAGCGATCTTGCAACGCCGGCGGGTTCAGGGCTCTGATGTGCCGTTGGCCAGCGATTACGCGTTGCGGATCGGCTTGGATCGTGCTGATCATGGTGAAGCAGGCGTTTGTTCCTTCGTCAACAGGGCACTGGATTGCCCAATTAGCGGTGACAATTCAAAGTGAGCGAAGTACGTACGTAGTTGTACAGGACGCCTGTGTTACGCCCGTCCAGTCCGACCACGGTGATGTGGTTCACCGCCTGCTGCAGGGGGCACGGCTCCGTTACCGCACAGATGTCGCGGAATGCTGGAAGGTGCCGCGCGAGTATGGCCTTGACTCGCGGATCGACGGGTGCCATTGCGAGGTGTTGCGAGCAGATGAGAGGGGGAGAGTACGCGTTTGCAAGACGCAGTGAGTTGGGAGTGCTTGTGAGACTTGGGAGCGTCTGGAGACGGCTTGGGAGAAGGTCGTCCGATAAGCGCCTACGGAACCGCGAACGGCGTCACCGTTAGCGCCGCAAACCCGGGTATTGCGTACTGTGCGTTTGAGACCACGTTAGGGACCGTGGATTGCTGGTAGAAAATAGGAGACACTCACCACTACCAGATGGTTTGATACGCGTAGAGTCCGGCCCAGTTATTCACGTACATCTTGCTTGCTTTATCCAATGTATTTTCCGTTGTCCAGTCCGCTGGAACTGTGCCGTCCGGAAACGAAGGGATGAGTTGGCAAGACTGTCTGATTTGCGAGAATGGTACAATCTTTCCTGGTGGAAGCCCGTCGGCCGTTGACGGCGGTTTGCTCACCGAGTACATGAGGTGTGTTGCGTCTGCAGCCCCCGAAAATCGAGTGTACCACTCGACATATGCGAGAGGACCTTCGGGCCACCAGGCCGGCGCAGGGCTGCGTCCGTTTGAGGCGGAGACAGTCTTAGGCAGAGTAAATATGACTTTTACTCTGGCCGCTCTCGTGCCTGATATCATAGACGGTCAATACGTGGTCTTTGCGTGAAACAATATAAAATTACTCACCGGTTAAACCTGTGGATTCAGCGTCATTGTTCTCAAGGACGATGACAGGGTCGAATCTGTTCTTCCGTCCCTCTCGAGCTGCACCGGGGACCGCTTTTACCACGTCGGACTCCTCCTTGCCCTCGGATATCTCGCACGGCTTGAACCTGACCTTGTGATATACGTCCAGCCGGTCGAAGGGAAGCCAAGTCCGGGCTAGCTCGCGACGATTGAGATGTAGTTCTTGAGGCTGTAGGTCGTTTATGAAGGTGGTTAATGCCGTAGAGAATCCTGGGGCATTGTGCAGGTCCTGGATGCGAGCGAGATGTTGCCCAGGTGTGGGCGGGTACTTAGCTATTTTGATAGAGTTGCCTACGTCCACCACCTCTTCTCTCCGTGACAAGATGGCTTCCTCCTCCTCCACCTCTTCAGAGTCGTCCAACTCTTCCATGGCTTGGCACTCCTTCTGAAAGGCCTCATAAGCAGCCATCTTCTCTCTCCGGGTGATCCACTTCATCATTTGCGGAAACTCGTCGCGGTGATTGGATGCCCGCCAGGCCTTCTTTGCGAAGTCGATATGGAGGCGCTCGAACATTTCGGTGTTGTAATTGTCTGTGGTGCCGTAGAGTCGAATAGATTCCACGTAATGGACGAGGGAATGAAACTTCGGAATATTGAGGTGGTCTCGAATCCCGAGCTTGATCAGGATGTCCTTGTTCTTGTGGTAGGTCTTCAGAGCTTCCGTCAAGTATTCGAGGGTAGAGTCGTCATGGGTGGGGTACTGCGCAAGGTAAATGAAGTCGAGAAGTGAGCGGAAGGTGAGCATGACGGATCTAGGTACTTTCCCAATGAGACATCCAAGAAGAACCCGGGCCATTTCCTTCCGTTCCTTTCCCGACACCTGAGAGAGGGACGATATCCCATTTTTGAAGTGTCGTATACCGTACGCGCCGGGGAGACACCGGAGACGGTTGTCGAGCTCCTCGGGACCGAGGAGGTCCTCGCACCAGGATACCAGGTGCTTGAAGACGCCCTGATACAGTTGGTGCAGGACGTCAGGGGTGATGGAAGCGTGGATGTCGGCGT